AATAGAGTTTCAGAGATCCAAGAGCTCTCAGAAAACATTGTTTGGAGGCATGTGCCTACAGAAGAGAATCCGGCTGATTTGGTGTCCCGTGGAACAGACATAGAGTTCTTGCTTCGAAGCCAAGATGAGTGGCCTCGTCTTCATCAGATAGAGGTCTCGCCTGATTTACAGCTGTCCGAGAACAAGAAAAGCGTGGCAGCATGTTCCGTAACAAAAGGCCAAACGAATGTATTTGCTGATCTTGTTGAAAGATGTTCATCTTTTAATAAGGTACTGCGGATCATGGCATACGTAAATCGGTTTATTCAAGGAAAGAAACGTCATCGCGAGGAGGTTATTTCGGCAAAAGAACTACGAGTATCGTTTATTAGGCTGGTCCAAATAACTAAAAGATTTGAGTTCGGATTAGAGTACAACAAATTAGAGAAATCGGAAAGCTTGGCCCCAAATCTTCAACGTCTAAACCGTTTCATACACACCAGCGAAGTAGATGGTGTGACGTTTCGTTTGATTCGGGTTGGAGGCATATTGTTGAATGCGCCAATCCCGTGTGATGCCAAATTTCCGTTACTGCTATCTCAAAAATCCCAATTTGTAACATTGTTTCTTCGAAACTTACATAGGACCCATTATCATGCAGGTGTCAAGGTAATGGTGTTACTTTTGAGGCAGCAGATTTGGCTGATCTATGCGCGAGAGGCTTGTACAAAGGTCGTCCGTGGTTGCGTCCACTGTTTTCGTTACAAGCCTGTGCTACTGGGTCAGATAATGGGTAACTTGCCCGCAGATCGGGTCAGGAAAGTTCGCCCTTTTTTGGTTTGTGGAGTAGACTTCTGCGGTCCGTTTAATGTTTCGCTTAAGATTCGTGGAAAAACCCATATCAAGACTTAAGCGACCGTCTTTGTTTGTTTTTCGTCAAAGGCTGTTCACCTTGAACTCGTTGTCGATCTATCTACTGACAGTTTTTATCTGTTTTCAAAAGGTTCGTCTGTCGGAGGGTACGCGGATCATACCTCCGAGGTCACCACACTTCGGAGGACTGTGGGAGGCAGCCGTCAAGGCCGCCAAGCATCGGTTGCTGCGAGGGGTCGGCAACGCCAAGCTCACACCTGGTGGAAATATAAGTTGAATGTAAACATTAAGTTATAGATAAAAAAAATGTAAGCAATCAAGATGTAATACAAGCTTAGCTTAGAGTGCGCTCCAGCTTTCCATATAGCTGAGCGGCGAACTCTTAAACTGATAAGCTTTTTGTAACTTCGTGACCCTTGTAAAATTTGGCACTTCTCGTGTGAGTCAGTCGCTCATTATCGCTGAGAATCGTTGACTGCGCCAAGCTTGGGCAAGCTTCGTGTGTCATTGCTTTCCACTTGGTCAATAGAGATGTAACCAACCGGAGTACACAGAAAGACATTCATGGGAATTTGGGCGTCCCTTTAGCATGTTTAGCAACACTGCAGCCAGCGTCTCGTTGCCTTCGTAGCGCTCCATGAATAATTCCTTGAATTGCACCCATCTCATTCCAGGAAAACAAATTTGAGATAGCCACTGCGATGCGCTTCCGAGAAGCGATTTGCTGGGCGTCATCACCAAGGATGCACCTTCTTGCAGATGTTCACACAGAATCATGTTAGTAGTTTTGCATCATGCTGCTGCGTCGGCGTTAGCAGTTTCAGCCTAGTATTCAGATCGACAAACGAGTTCGCTAGCGTAAAAACTTTAATCTTTCCAGTGTGACCAACATTTCGAGACTTCATCAGAATTAAGCGTGTCAATCAGCTGGGTTTGTTGACAAGCAGTTAAAATTCAAATATCGTATTTGCGGGAAAGAGCCTTTAAAAGATATTATCAAATACCTTGGCAAGACAAGTCTGCCGCTGTACAAAGAAATTAAAACAACAATACAATTTAAATTTAACAATTGTTTTTTTTTAATTTACTGATAATTATTTGCTAATTTAAAGTTCATAGCTGCACTTTTATTGTGTTTTTTCGCACATTTTTGACCTAAGAAACATTTGGCTCTGACAAGAGGTATAGTGTTATTTTGTCCTAACATGTAAACTCCTGCAATCGACCTTTGCTGTTTTTTTTATTTTTTCCCTCCATTTTATAAAATGTTCAGTGAGAAGCGCATGCCAAAAGATTAAATTTTATTTAATATTCTTTTCGCTAGGGTTCACCCAAAGTTCATTTCAGCAGACTGGCAACGCTATGAAATTTTCTGGTATTTTTTTCGTCGATCTGAGTACCGAGTTGAAAAAAAGGCCTGACGAAAAGTGAACGCCAGCTGTTTGCCTCTCGCTCTCTCTCATGACTGGCGTACAGTTTTCGTCGATCTGAGTACTAGGCTTTCGGGATCAAACGTTGGTAGCACTCCAGAAACTGCACGCGTGCCAGGCGCCAATTTCAATTACTCTATTTTGAGTTTCTGCCTTGCAGGGGTGGTGATCCCACTTCTGTTTAGGAAATATAGGGTCAGGTTCCCCGGCCTTTATTAATAAGGGTTTTTTAGTACACAGCGCAGCGAGTCGCAATGATTTTACTCAACACTCAATACTTTTTCGTCTATTCACTCGGAAGGGTCAACTCGAACTGCCCAATTGACCAATTGCTGCACAATTACATCCTTGAGTTTTTTTTTATGTTATAGTGTGCTTTTGGATCTGTCACTCGTGTATATCCCACAAATGCTCTACAGGACTCAACCCTTTTTATTCTGTGCTGTATGCTTCAGGGCGTTGTTTTGCTAGAACCCACAATCAATTTTTCAGCGCATTGCTTGAAATTGTTTTTCAAAGTATTGATAAAGTAACCTTGAACCATAATTGACTCGATAAATTTTAAGTTTCCCACGTTTCCCATTTTAATTTCAACTGTGCAATATAAATAGAAGGAAGAATACAAAAAATTGACGCAAAAAGAGTCTAACGGTAATTGCCTAATCCTAGAACCAAACATACAATTGGCGAGGTCGATAGGATGTGCTGAAAATTAGTGATCGTTAAAGGATTTAATTGCGAATCTCTAATAATCGTGTAAAATATTTTGGAAACGCCATCGCACCAAATGGAATTAAAAACGCGAGTAATAATCAGTAACCGTGAAAATAAATGTTCAATTCGTAGCCCTCTTTCGCTGAGTGATCGCTACAGAACATACATATGTACATAACCTTTACAACAATACACAGAAAGTGCAGTGAACAAAAGTTATATAATGCCCTCCTGTAAAAGAGTGATCGCTATTGAAAATCTACTAGAAAGAACACGAAACAACAAAATAAACAGGAGTTAAATAATATTAAAAATCTTACAAAGAAAAATGCCAAACTTAATATATAAAAAAATAAGAAAGGAAACTAGCTTCGGCAAGTCGAAGCTGTCCGATTTTGACAAAACTTAAAAAGTTATTCTGATATAGTACAAAATTACTATATTTCAGGAATAAGGAATATTTTGATAAATAGATCAATAGCCAAATAAAAATTAAAAATTGTTTTTTTTTGGAAAGACAACTTTTGGAAAAGTTTGAAGCATATAGCTTTAAAACTGAGGGACTATTTTACGTAGAAACGGACGGACGGACATGGCTAGATCGACTCTCCTGGTGATGTTGATATAATACTGAATATACATACTTTATAGGGTCAAACTGAAATTATAATAATTTTCAACAAAGTTATACATTTTAACATTTTTATTTCCGATTATTCCTATGGGAGCTATATGATATAATTCCAACTTATATATTTCATTCAATAGAAAGACAACTCATGGGCAGATAGCTTTAAAACTGAGGGACTATTTTACGTAGAAACGGACGGACGGACAGACGGACGGACGGACTGAAATCTACAAGGGAATAAAAAAGTTGGGACCATAGAATATTGGCGGAATAAAAATATATAATATAACAATAAAGAAATATATATTTTTTTTATTGCTTACCCTTAATGTTATTAAATTAAACCAAAATTACACATTTTCAAAAGCCATTTTTTTATTGTTATTGTTATTGTTATTTTTGAGCTTTAAAAATTATTTGAAATTATTTTTTCAGGCACCTAAAAAAATAACAAAGAAGTTATAATCTTCTGAAGTAATATAAATACATTTTTTATGATCCGTTCTTCATAATGAGCATTAGTGTGAATGTTTCTACTGCGCTTACACGTCTGGCTTATTTGCAAATAAAAATGTATCGACACCTTAAATTTCGGACAAATATGATTAATTCTAATAGTAGCACTAGCTTACAACTTAAGACGACAATTTATTCCAGAATCAAAACTTTTTTGGACAGTTGGACTCCACGATTTGGGTAGTGCCACTCAAATTCAAGAAGGACCATACAAATTTAAACCTTGAAAAACATACGCATAAAAACAAATTTAAAACAAAATTAAGCGACTGACCAGAATTCGATATAAACAAGAAAGGAAGAAAACTTCGGCAAGCCGAAGTTTATATACCCTTGGAGTTATTTCACGATTTCACGCTGCATTTTGCCATTGTTTCTATGGCAGCTATATGTTATTGTTGTCCGATTTTGACAAAACTTAATTTATATAGTTAATAACTACTATACCTCAAAGGAATATTTTGATAAATAGAAAAATAGCTCAATAACATTATTTTCATTTTTATTATTTTTCATTTTTTGAATTTTCTATGGGAGCTTTATATTATATATTGATGTCCGATTTTAAATTAAATTTAAACCGTAATTCCATCGTATTTAAATATTACAAATCCCAAAGAACAAAAACAAAATTTAAAACAACAAAGTTATACTTTTTAAAAATTTTTTTCTGATTGTTCCTATTGCAGCTATATGATATAGTCGCCCGACTATAGTCGTTCCGACTTATGTACTATCTGCAATAGAAAGACAACATTTGGGTAAGTTTTAAGGAGATAGCTCTAAAACGTAGAAACGGACGGACGGAGAGACGGACGGACAGACGGACGGACAGACGGACATAGCTAGATCGGCTCTCCTGGTGATGCTGATCAAGAATATATATTTTATATAAACTTTTGACTGAAATTATAATACCCTCTGCAAGGGTTTACAAAATATAGGAGTCATGCACGTGAATATTTAAACTTTTTTTGGGAAATGAAAAATGTTTTGTTTGGAATAAGACGGACTGATAAATGAATGAATAATTCATTCAAAAAGTAGCTAAGATTGTTATACTTATTTATGATTTTCTATATTATTAAAAATTACTTAAGGTCTAGACAATTTTCATTTGCGGATGTTTCGTAACAGCATAATGGTCCAATGTTACCAACTGGGTAACTCCATTTATTGGACTCCGCCAGAGTATTAGGGCTGAAAGTAGCCTGTCGAGATTGTTGCGGTCGAAAAGAGTGCAGGTGTGATTTAAAAAATACTGGAAAGGCAACACGCTGCTGTACTTGCAAGCTGGGTGATACTTCTTTAGCAGCTAATGACTTGGAAAGTGCTTTCTCGTTAGCAAATTTTGAAACGGTTTTTTTTAAACAAGTTCGTTCCTGAATTTTTTCGTTTTTTCGACGAGATATGATTTTTAAATTTCCATTAAATCCTTTTACGTCCTGAAACGAAACATATTTTAAAAATAAAAATAGTTAGTTATAAAATATCTTAAACTTTATCTGTGAACAAAGAGCATATTGTTAAAAAACTAAATTTTTTTATTATTTAAACTTGTCCCTTTAATTACAGTTCAATTTATGCGGGATATTCGTCACACTTTTTATGCTTTGTATATATATTATATATACCATGATCGATGAGTCGGTATATACATATACATATATAATAAGCTAACCTTTGTGAAATTTGACAGATATTTGTAACGGTTCTCTGAAGGGCTTGCTTAAAATCCAACTAAAAATGCATCAGGGTCCCACAATAACAAGAAGTTTTATTTATCGGACCAATGTTTTTGACGAAACTTTGTTTTGGCTTTATTAAAGAAGGATAAATTACAAAACATAAAAGAGATCAAACTTCGGAAAGACTAAAGCCTAATACTCAAGATCGACAAAATCTGTTCGTCAGCTATGGGAGAGAGCGAGAGGCAAACAGATGGCGAACGCTTTTCGTCAGGCTCTTTTTTCACCCTGGTACTCAGATCGACGAAAAATACCAGAAAATTGCATAGCGTTGCTAGTCTGCTGAAATGAACTTTGGGTGAACGTTCGTCAGGCCCTAGTGAAAAGATTACAAAATTTAATCTTTTGCGTTTCGGTTGTCAGAGAAGATTGTTTCTTAGGTTTAAAATAACCGGAAAAACACAACAAAATTTTCTGAAAGAACCTATCATCTCTAAATTACAAAATAATAATCAGTAATTTAAATAAAAAGCTACTTTTAAATTTAAATTATATTGTTTTCTAATTTCTTTGTATAGCGGAAGACATCTCTTGCTAAAGCAGTTGAGAATATCTTTTAAAGTCTCTTTCCCGCATATAAGATTTTTCTATTTTAACTGCTGTTAACAAGCCCAGCTGATTGACTGTACGACCGTAGCACGTTCAAAACTGATGGACTCTCAAAAATGCTGATCAAGAATATATGTGATCAAATATATATGTACTTTATAGGATCGGAGATGTCTCCTTCACTGCGTCGCCTTTGACCAAAATTATAATACCCTCTGCAAGAAACGATTGCAAAATGCAGCGGAAAATCGTTATAGCTCCATTATTTTTTGTAATATAGGCATAGAAATCAAAATGTAGTCGATTTGTAATAACTGCAAGGGTATATAAACATCGGCTTGTCAAAGTAATTTTTTTAAAATTGAAAGCGAAATTATAATAAAATTAAAATGTATGCAATATGTTTGTTCATGTTATTTGTCCAATTGTTTCTATTGTACCTATGTGTATGACATAGTCCTCTGATCTGGTCCGTTCGTGCAGATAGCTTCGAAGTGAAAGACTAGGCAAGCTATATCATTTCGTTAATGATTCTTTATAAAGTTGGTTTTAAAAATTAAAAATGTAAGGAAACTGAAAATTACTTTAAATTTCTATAATTCAAGCACAAATAAAATTATTTATGAAAAACATTTTTAGACACCGATAGGTGGTTTAACCTACAAGCTCTGCATTACAACGCTGGTGGTACAAAATCCAATTAGTCTGTTATTTCTAGCCGCTAAACTATATATATAAAAGGTGCGTTGGATAAAAAAAAAAAAAAAAAACTATCAAAGAAGTATCCATTTTCCACAATTAAATTTTTCTTTTCTTGGAAATGTAGTTTTCTTACCTCTGAATTTTTTTTTTCATTATCGCATAACATCGGTTTTGAATTTGGAGGTGAAGTTGACATTTTAAATTTTTCTGTTTGAAAAATTGATAGGGAATGACTTGTGTTTTCAATTGAGGATCGACTGGAATTTAACTCTAGTTGATCTTCTGCGTCTGTTGTAATAACATCTACTTCGACATCTGCTTCTACATCAATATTTGTACTTGTAGACTGAGAAAGGCTGGTACTTTCGCCTTCGGACACGATATCGGCTGGTGTTCGAGGTGCGTTAATGTGTTGAATTATGAATTTACCCTCATCCTCTGTTGTCTCGATATCCACCACTTCGTCGTCGTCGTCGTTATCATCCAAATTTCTGGATACACTGTTTGATAAAACAGATGTAATTGACTTTTCTGAAAAAGGTTTTTGTAATTCAAATTGAGCTAACGTAATTATGCAACTTACTTTCATTATTGGATTGTACTTTTTCGAAAATTGGCGAAAAGGCTCCATGACCTACTATCTGTTGCGAAGAGGCTGAAATAGTATTTTGGGTTAAAACCGTTGTGGTTCTTGTAGATTGTGGGTGGATATATTCGGTTCTTTTTGAATCACTGGATCGCGTGTATAGGGACGTTGACACAATTGCCGTCGAAGCGACGACAGGTTTAAAAGCAGAGCAGTTAAGGATCGAAGGAATGTTGTAATCAGAGAGGCTTATCCCGCTGTTCGCAACGCCTGAGAGCTTGCGGTTTTTAATAATGCCACAAATAGATGCATGGGGCTCGTTTTTAATATTGAACGATGTATTGTCCGAAATACGAATTGAATTTCCAGTCGCCAACGGACCACTTGTGTCGGGTATAACCCATGACCTTGGGCAGGACTCACAGTCAAGACTTGGATCACCGCTACTGAGTTTTTTCGAAAACTGTTGCTGATAATGTTGATCCTTTTGCTGCCACATGTAGTCCACTACAAAATTTCTGGAAATCGGCATTATGGAAAGGTCCCGTTCGCTGCGAAGCGAATGCAAAGGTGACAGGACGGTGGAGCCATGCAAGTTGAACGGTACACCAACAGTTGCGGCTGCAACTGCCGTTACTCCAACCACAGCGGCCGCTGCTGCAACGGTACTGTAGTTGTACTGGCCATCAAGTTGTCGTTGTGGGAGCGGAGAGGATTCCCCGTCGCCTTCTTTGGGTTCTCTTTCGAAATTCGTCGGGGAACTGCAGGAACTACCGCCAACTCCAGTGCTCAAGGTCGCCGATGACGTTGGAGAGCCTTGGTTTCGACTACTGATGCTGCTGCTAACAAGTCGTTTTCTGGTGCCACCATTGAACATTGCTTTAACATCTTCCCAGGCGTGAATAATTTTCTCATCATAACCATTTCCACCAAGCGTCATGTGCCGACGCCATGAATTGAAGTTCGCCGCATCGGGCTGCACATACCTGTCATTAGTCGTTATACGATGTGAATGAAATATGAATTTATTTGGCGAGAAAAACATTCCGCAATATGAACACTTAATGCATTTAGCTCTGGATGAGTTGTAGCGGGAAGGCAAGAACGATCCGCGGCAGCCCCAGGCACATTTGTGCTGGACATTAAATGCAAAATCGTCAGGTAATCGCGGAGGTGTGTTATCGCCCAGGAAACTCTTACACAGTCGCTCCGCTTCTCTTCGAGTTATCATTCCACATCTTCGCGAACTCACGGGCATAGCACCAGCTCTTCTTAATATCTCCAATTGTACAGGAGTACATTGCACACAAGTGATGCCGAGCGCAACCCTCCTGTTATGTATTTCGTTATAACTGAATTGCTTCAGCAAAGTATTTGAGATTTGCGCCAAGCAGAGTCGCTCCTGGCCTTCGATGAACAAAGAGACAATCGGCACTCCGTATAGCAGAACTGAGCTAACCTAAAAATTTAAAATTTAATTATTTCTAGAACTAAAATACCATCAATTACTAATATTAAAAAATATATAACCGAAATAAATAAAATCCAAAGCATCATTTAGCTATTTGTTTAAGCTTGAACATTTCCAGTGACAAAATTTCATTTGCATGTGTCCTTTCAAACAAAAAGAGTGTAAGCCTATTTTAGTAGTCGTAGTTGATTCTCTAATTTCAAAAGTCTTTTATGTTTTTAACGGTTTTAAAAAACAAAATTGTTAATTTATAGTATTTTATAGTATATTTTTCCTTAACATTTTTCAGTTGAAACTTATAGGTTTGATTCCAAGTAGCCAATCCTAAGTTAGGTAAGATTAGATGGATAAGCGCACATCCGTGTGAGGTACCCTTTAATAACCAATGCACTCGATGAAATGAGTGTTTGAAACTTAGGCAAGCTCTTTTTTTTACCTGCCGAACAAAAACTAAATTTTAATTTGCCCATTCTGAGATCTTGACAAAGGCTGAAGGAATCCCACGCACCTTAAATATGTGAGAGAAAGTTATATAGTACATTTTTGCATATCAGCAATTTAATTCAATGTCAGAAATTAATACGACTTAAATAAATTGGTTCTAAGTGTTATTAACTCTTTGATTCGTTGATTTTATTTTTAATACATTTTTAGTTAAAGTTTTGTATGGGTTTGTCACAATTCTAACTTAATAAAATTGACAGAAGGTGCAACAGAAATTTATTTGGCGAGCATCATCAGAAGAGTCGATCTCAAAAGTTGCCCTTTTATAGCAGGTATTATATAAGTCAGAACGAGCCGGATCGGTCGTCTATATCATATAGCTCCCATAGGAATATTCGGAAAAAAATTTAAAGAGTATAACTTTGTTGTTTTTAATTTTTTTTTTGTTATTTGGGATTTGGTAATATTTAAATGCTATGGAAATACGGTTTCAATTTAATTAGAATCGTACATCTATAGCATATACACTGACGAGCAAAACCGTAACACTAGTTCAATACTCTAACTTCAAAGGCCTGTATCTTCTGTATCTAATTAATGAACGCTATATATCTTAGTCTTGTTTTGTTGATATATTTGTATACTACGTTTCTAGAAAATATTAGGCCATTTAATAATAAGAATAAACAAGAAATGAGCCGAAGTTGATATACCCTTGCAGAATATTCTGTAAATTATATTCTCCAAAATTATTCATATTATTATTCCCAGAGAAAAATCGAAACAATTTTTCAAAATCGGACAACAATATCATATAGCTGCCATAGAAACGACGGCAAAATGCAGCGCAAAAGCGACATAGTTTCATTGTTTTTAGTAATATAGGTTTTAAAGACTGTTTTTTTAAAAGCACCTTCGATATCCAAGAAGGGAGCTAGGGTTGTTGAAGATAAATGTTTCAAATTCAAAATTACCCGCCAAGTCAGAGGGCGCTTTAAATATCATATCGATTGTATCGATATGAAAACATAAACACATAACCAAAAAGCTATCGAAGAGAGTAAATAAACACGAGATTGGATTTCGAGAAATATAGTTTATTTAATGGCCTAAATAACTAAATAAGTAAAAGTTATAACAGGTTATGGGCCCAGGAACGTTTTGTTCAGTTTAAAGTAAAAGAAAAAAGTAAATTTTGCTCGATTACGATGGATTTGGCGAAGCACGTCACAAAGCTCTCAGGCGTGACCGATTGGCCGATTTGGAAAAGAAAAATTAGGGGCCTGATAGATTATCACGACGGTGCTCTCGACGCGTTGGACGGAAAGATCGTCAAACCGGATCCATTGCCAGAAGGTGCCTCAACAGCAGATGAAAAGAAGCACAAGGAGAAGAGCGACTTTTTTCGTAAGGCCAACAGCTATGCAAAATCCATGATTACCACTGCGGTCACGGACTCGGTGTACCAGAAGATCATGGACAAGGAGACAGCACACGATACGTGGGAAGCCCTGAAAAATCAGTTTGAAGCAACAGCGAAGGACCAGGTATTCAGGATATGCAACGAGTTTTTCGCTTTCTCTTGGAATCCAGGTAACGATGTATCAACCCACATAGCAAAATTGCGTAGTCTATGGAACGATTTAAATCAAGCTTTGAAGGCTAAAAATGAAACTGAGCTGCCAGATTTGATACTTGTTTGTAAAACGCTACATATTTTGCCGAAAGCCTTTGAAACGTTCCGTCAAAGTTGGATGCTCTTGACAAAAGAAGAAGAAAAGACTTTTGACGAATTAACTAATCAAATTGTCATGTTTGAGAGAAATTTTAGAACAAAAGAAAATGACGAAAAGGAAAGCCAGGAGGCTTTTTCTACCACAGCAAAAAAGGAGCATCGCCAGGATTCAGGAGCATCTGGTCGGAGATTCGATACCTGCCGCTACTGCAAGAAAAAGGGGCACTGGATCAAGAACTGCATAAAATGGAAAAAGGATGGACGTCCGAAGCCGAACTACCAGAATGCTGAACAAGGAAATTGTGCAGAACCAACGTTAACTCTCGTCTCAGTCCACAATGGCGTGTTTGCAGCAGAGGCAAACTCAGAGGTTGACTGGTGGATAGACAACGGTGCAACAAAACACGTTGTGAAGACTGCGAAGTATTTCGAGCATTTTGAGAAGTTTGAGAATCCGAGTTGGATCAGAGCAGCTGGAAATGAAACCTTGTCAGCTTTGGGCCAGGGCACAATCAAAGTCAAAACGATTGTCAATGAAAAAATTCTTTTTCTTTCTTTGAAAAATGTATGGTTTGTTCCCAATATAACGAAGAACCTGTTTTCAGTTTTGGCTGCCCAAGACAATAATCCAAGTAGTCGTTTCGAGTCGTCAGCAACCGAGTGCACCCTCAAAATAAACGACAAGATTGTCCTCGTTGGAGCCAGAGAAGTTGGAGGAACACTCTACAGAGCAGCGATCGAGCCCATACTTCCAGAACGAAACGTCGATGTCAACGTCGCAACTTCAGGAACTTCAATTCTCCAACTCTACCACGAGAGGTGGGGACATCAGGACAAGAACCACATCAAGGACTTGCTCAAAAGAGAAATGGGCATTCAAGTCAAGCTCGAGAGTAGCTTTTGCGAGCCTTGCATCCTTGGAAAGACGCATCGATTGCCATTTGGAACGAGGAAACCAGCGATGAAGCCAGGGGAACTGATGTCAGGCGATGTTTGCGGCCCATTTGAGGATTCTTTCAAGAAGAAGAGGTATCTGGTAGTTTTTAAGGATCATTTCACTAGGTTTCGATATGGGTACATCGTCAAGCAGAAATCAGAGGTCAAGGACGTGCTGCGACACATGGTTTCTCACGCCAAGCAACAAGGGCACACAATTCGAGAATTCCTGAGCGACAATGGAGGAGAATTCGACTGTGCAGGAGTGAGAGAAACTCTTCAGGAAGCTGGTATAACTTTTCGACTCACCGCTCCGTATACTCCAGAACAAAACGGTGGTGTCGAGAGAGAGAATCGAACAATAGTCGAAATGGCGAGAACTTTCAAGTATTCTAATCCAGAAATAAAATTTCCAGAAGCAATTTGGGCCGAGTTGGTTAGCACAGCAGTCTACGTTCTCAATAGGACGGGCAAATCTTCGTTGAAGGGTCTGAGCCCTTACCAACTTTGGCTGGGCAAGAAACCAAGAATCAAACATTTTCGAATCGTAGGATCGACGTGCTATGTACACATTCCATGCCAAAAAAGGAAGAAGATGGCCGAAAAAGCTGAAAAGGGGTACCTGGTGGGTTACGACGGCGATGAGAGGTATCGTATTTACTTACCAGAGAAGCACAAAGTAGTCGTGTCGAGGGATGTAAAATTTCAAGAGAAATTCAGCAACTGTGAACCAGGCGTCAACCTACCTTTCCAAGATTTTGGATCCAAGGACGTCGTAGAAGACAAGGAAGAAGAAGACGCGAATTTGCACAAGAGGGAGAACGAAGACACAGCCGAAACAGGAAGCGAAGACAATTACGAAACTGGAGTAGAAACAAGCTTTGACGAAGAAAACAACAAGAGAAAAATGCAATCAATGCTGTTGAGGGATCGTTCGAAGTTGAAGAGACCGGAGCATCTGGATGACTACGTAGCAGCAGCCGAGAATTTTGTGCTGGAGAATCCAGATTCCTTCCATGAAGCCATCAACAGCAACGTCGAGTGGAAAAAGGCAATGGACAGGGAAATTGATTCCTTACATCAGAATGAAACTTGGAACTTGACAAGACTCCCCAGAGGATCGAAAGCACTTCCGTGCAAGTGGGTCTATCGAATCAAAACCCACCCCGACGGAAGTATCGATAAATACAAAGCTCGCTTGGTCATCAAAGGATTCGCCCAGAGACGAGGGATTAATTACGACCAAACTTTTAGCTCTGTCGCAAGAATGGAAACAATCCGCTCAGTGTTGAGCGTTGCAGCCAAAAATGATATGTTTTTGTTCCAGTTTGACGTCTCGACAGCTTTTCTATACGGTGAATTGGACGACAAGGAAATTTACATGCAACAACCTGAGGGATACGAGCAAGGACAGGGGCTTGTTTGCAGATTGAAGAAGAGTCTCTACGGGCTTAAGCAAGGGCCGAGATGTTGGCAAGAACGCTTCGGAGGTTTCCTGCGGAAACACAATTTCAAGCTCAGCGAGGCAGATCCATGTCTCTACATCAGGGAAAGAAATGGCAAAAAGATTCTACTCGTTGTTTACGTAGATGACGGACTCGCCGCAGCAACAGATACGCAAGATTTGGAAGAATTTTTGGACGAGTTAAATTCAGAGTTCAAAATTGTCTCAAACAAGGCTGAGTGCTTCTTGGGACTCGAAATCAAGAAACAAGAAAATGGACTAAAAATTAGTCAACAAGGATATGCCACAAGGATTTTGGAGCGATTCAGATTCTCGGATTGCAAAGCTGTTTCAACCCCACTTCTCAAGAATTTAGAAATTACGACAGCAGGGAAAGAATCAGAGACGACTGCGTTCCCTTATCGCCAA